GGTGTTCAGGGACACGTGTTGATTCAGCGGGGTAAACTGCATCTCTTCGGTGCCCTCTCAGTGCCACATGCTCTGCAGATTGGGACACTACTTGGACAAGACGGTCATGTGCTTAACCAGGCCATGCTGGGGGGGTCTGGAGCTGGACAGAGTGATGGGTTCTTGAGAAGAAGGTGTGAGGAGCAGTGGGACTGGTGGGCAGCACCTCCTCTCACAGCTGTACCCGTGTGTGGCTCAGTAGTGGGAAGCAGAGGACACGAGCTCGCACTATAGCCACGTCTGTTGGCTCCTGGGTGTCTGACAGGAGAGCTGTGTTCTCCTCATTCTGGAGAGGTCGGAGGGGGGCGCTGCTGAGCCATGTGTGCTCCCTGTGTCCCATGCTGGACACTTCCTGTATGGCCTCTGCTCCAGGATCGTGAAGACCTGGTCGCAAAGGGTAGCCTAGATCCAGTGCAAAACCAGATGCCCTGGAGGTAGAGAAGGCTAGCCGAAGATAAGCAAGATGTCTTTTGCAATATTTGGTTGAAGATAATTAAAATCACTCAGTGTAGAAATTACTCATTTCAAATACACCCTCATGACTTAGGATATCACATTTGTTTATCTGAATGGATGTCAGAAGCAAGGCAGGATTCTGGATTTGCTTATGTCTTTCCAGATTCTCATTTTAGTGCTAAACGACCGAGCCAGGCCTGGCTTTAATTCTAGGGCAAATCGAGCTCTTGTGTGACCTGCTTGGTCCTGTGACTCTGCTTCCCGGAGAGGGGCTTCAGCTGGCTGGGTCACTGCAGCCTTCCTTCCCCACAGACCATGGGCACCTTGAAGCCATGGTCATGGTAAGGGCGGGGTGGTATGGGCCTGCAGGGGAAGTCGAGGTACCAAGCGGACCAGGAGGAGTGTACTGGGAGTGGCTCTCTGGAAAAGCAGGACCAAGGCAGAAGATAAGTGGGTGGGAGGGCAAGATGGAGACAGACAGACAGACAGATAGGAGAGGATTTATTATGGGAACTGCCTGAAATGCTTATGGAAGCTGAGAAGCCCCACTGCAAACTACAGACCAGGAAAGCTGATGAGAGAAGTTAGACCAAGACCTGGGGGTCACTGGTTCAAGTCCTGCAGCCTGAAAATGGAGGCTCAGGAGTGCTGACATCTGGAGGAGGAGGAAGAGCTGTGCAGCTCAAGGAGAGAGAATCAAGTTGAGTGTCCTCAGCCTTTCTGTTCTGAGGGCCTCCAGTGGATCTCAGGCTGCCCGCTCTTCCTGGGGAGGTGAACCTTTACTAGTCTGCTGCTTCCAGAGCCAATCTCACCAGATCCTCACGGACACACTCAGAAGTCATGTTTCACAGCGGTCTGACATCCCTTAGTGGAGCCAAGCTGGTTCTTCTCACTGACCATCATGAAGAGAGACAATTGGGGATGGACGGCCACTGCGCTTCGCTGGTCTTTGACTGGTGGCCGTCTGTGCTCTGCATCGGCTGCCCCACCACACGGCCCCACACTTGGGCTGTCTGCGCCCAGAAGAAGCGGTTTTGCAGGCCTGAGGATCTCTGACACTGCAGAAGACCTGCCGTGGCCCTGCGCCCTCCTAGAGGGAATTACATTTAAAGGAGAGAAGCTGCTGCAGCGGGGCAGCGGGTGGTGGATGAATTCTGTAGCCCAGAGCTTGGGGCGAGGTGGTAATCAGTTCTTCAGTTCCGCAGGAAAACAATCAGATTCTACCACTGTTCTCTTTGAGTCCTTACGAACACAGGTACTCAGGGAAAGGACTACTTTCACTGTTCAGCAAGGAGTTCATTCTGAAGGCAGCAGCCAGGCAGTCGCTGAGGAAAGTGAGCTTGAGGTAACTGGAGCCCTTGCAGGCTGAGCTCTGACAGCCTGCCGTCCCGTCCACACAGGGTACGTTAGTCTGAGTTCCAGGAAGCGTGAAGTGGGATCTAACATGGCACGAGAGGCTTCCTGTGTATGGAGCCTTTTGTCCCAATTTCTTGATGTGATACCTTCTCGCGTGGTCAGCTGCTGCCTTCTTCTTTGTCCCCTGAAGGACAGAGCTGCTTTTCTTTCTGAGCTTCAGAGTTGGGGACCTAAGCTACATGCAGAGCAAGGGCTTTCAGGGAGCTGTGAAATCTTGTGGTGTTAAGTCTTCCTGTGGCTTCACGATCCTTTTCTACGAAGCCAGGGTCTGGGCTACGGCATTTCTAAGGTTCTTTCCAGCGAGTTTAACGACACGAAGCCTTGGTCCTCGTGCACATGTTCCAACTGTGCCTTCACAGCAGGTTCGGCATTACCAGGAGGGCCGGGTCTGCTCCCCGAGAACCTGAAGCCGGACTGCTTGTTTCCCCTCTTTCTGTCTTCATGCCACTCTCCAGTTCTTCAACTTTCTTTTGTCTGCTCTGTGATTCCCATGCTGTCTTGTCTAACTTCAGTGGAAACCATATGTATTCATTGAGGCCAAGGAGGTGCTGGACTCTTACTAATCCCAGGAATTACAAGCCTGGCTAGGAACAAAGTTTCTGTCCCTGAAGAAACCCCATCCGAGGCAGAGCGGCAACTGCCGACCAACATCTCGGGGCTCCCAGGGGCCATCACGGAGGGGCCAGAGGAACTCGGGCCTGAAGAACTGAAGGCCCCCAAAGTGGCCAGCATTTGAGAGGGGGTCTTTAAAGTATGAGCTGGGTTTTTCAGCCCTATTAGGAAAGAAGGGGTTCTTGGACCGATGAGGCCCCAGATGAAAGGCTCCCACAGAGCAGGTTGGGGCATAGGAACCCAACGGCCATGTCGGTGAGTCCCAGGCTGGCATGAAGGTGAGAGTCCCTAGCTGCCCTTCAGAACCAGAGAGGGCAACCTTGGGACTAGGGAGGGGTGTGGTGAGCCTTTGTCCTGGGAAGGGTACACAGGGAGTTTTGGGGGGCTTTGAGGGTGCCCTCACACTCCAAAGGCTTCTGTAACTTTCCCTGCCTGGTTGCTGAGCTAAGCTGGGGGCGTAGTGCGGTCAGCTGAAGGAGTTTTGCGGGTGCTGGAGGCGGCAGGCAGACAGGGAGGAGGCGGGGCAGTGCCGCTCCTGCCTGGGGTTGTCTGGTCCTGCCTCCCACCCCTCCCCACCAGCCACAGCTTTGTTTTGTCTGACTCCCTCACCAGCCTGGCATTCCTGGGGGCTGTGTTCCCTCCCGATGCTTGTGGTTTCTGGACAATGGGGGAGATTCCCTGCCTTGGAGCAGCACCTGGCGGGATTCCTGGGAGCCAAGGGAGAGGAGCACAAGGCTGTCTGTGGCTCTACAGTGGCCTCTGAAGCAGAAGAATGAGCAGAGAAAATCCCCACAAATTCCCCTGTGATAAGGCAAAGGCGGGGGGTCTCACAGCGGGAGTACATCCAGGTGCTTATGCATAAGCCAGCAGGGAGCTGGGCAGGTCCTGAAGATGGCTGTGCAGTCTCCGGACACAGCTCCATGTCACCCTGGGGGATAGAGCTCTGTATGCCACCCCAGGAGATGTGAGAACCAGGTTGTCAGGGCCCTGAGGCCTCTTGACCAGCATGTGTGCAGCTGTGAACGAGTGAAGGGCCCCAAGGAAAGAGGGGTGCAGAGCAGCCCCTGTGAGCCCAGTGACGCTGGAATGGCAGAGATTTTCTACCAGGGGAGCGGGTGCAGCATTGTGTACACTCACACTTCGGGACCCGTCCCGAGGTGGTGGAGTCTTTGTATTCCAATGTCTCCAGATCCCGCCCCACCTCCTGGTGCCTGCTGCCCTTGTGCAGGATGTGACCTGGAAGGGTGCAACTATTGCTCCCTTCTCTTTCCTTCTCTCTCACATCTGGGCCACCGTGATGTGAGCAGCTCTCCTTCCACAGCGCCCTTCCTGCCTTGCAGGCAGCCCCCAGGGACTGAAACTCTGAGCCACACCGAGCCTCTTCGCTTTTAAGTTGGGGATGTTGGATTGTGTCCAAGTGGTAAGGAGGTGACCAAGACAGAGCTGTCCTTCCTGTCACTGATGCTCTGTGGTGCAGGGTCCGCCTCACCTTGGAAATATTAATGTCTTCCCATGGGGACCCATTATGGCTGGTTGAGCTATAATCCAGGGGAGTGGTGCCATACCCAATTTCAGGTGTCTGTGAGGCCAGGCTATGTGACAGTCAGACATGAGGCTGGCTGAGAGTGGGCATTTTGTCCATGTGTGAATGTTTGATCAGTGGGTGTTAGGAAGGGAGATTCCTTTCATAACGTGGGTAGGCTTCAGTCCAATCAGATGAGGGCCCTGCCAGTCATCCCAAGGCTCCTCTGAGAAGAAGCAGTTCTGCCTCATGTGCCCAACAATGGAACTCATGAGTTTTGGCCTGCTGTCTTGTGGAACTCGGACCCAAGATGGCACTATCAGCTCTTCCCTGAGTTTCTTCCTGTGGATGTCAGTTGCCTGGCTTCACAGTTGGGTGGCACTGTTCCTTAAAATACCAGCTCTTTTCGCTCATGCCCCCCTGGTTCTACTTCTCTGGAGAACCCTAACACCAGCAGGAATTGCAAGGTCAAGCTGCCTTCCCCTCCCTCTCTCCCTCTTTCCTTGTCTCCTTCCCACCTTTCCTCTCCCTCCCTCCTTCCCTCCTTTCCTTCTTTCCTTCCTCCCTTCTTTGACAGGGTCTCCTTATGTAGTTCAGGCTGGCCTTGAACTCACAGCAATCCTCCTGCCTCAGCCTAGTGAGCGCTGGGATCACAGATGTGTGGCCACATGCACAGCAGAGTAGCCACCTTGTCATCTGTGTCACTAAGCCAGCAGGACCCACCTTCCGCTGCCCTCCCCACTAGGGTGCACTTTGTCCTAGTCGAGTTCTGCCTCTCTGTGACATTCCAGAGCCATATTTCTCCCTCTTTGAAACTCATTTCTCAGTGTCTGGTACCAGCCCTCTACAGCAGAAGCAAACCTCAGGAAGCATCAGGACGCAGCTCAGAAGCAGATCATACAATATAAAATTTATTATAAAATTCAGCAAATATAAATAGCCAGGTGCCCGTCTGCAAAGGCGCCACTTTCCAGGCAGGGAGACCAGAAATAAGCACCAGTGAGGACAGGGAGCAGGGGAGGCCCTCTGTGAAGGCTGCTGCCCTTCCTTTTCTACCCAAGTTATGGAAGAAATTTAAAAATTAAAAGATCCTCAACAGAGCAACAACAAGACCCAGGGCACAAGGCTACAATCAGAGCTACTGCTTGGTGTCCCTGACTCTTTTTGGGGGGCAGCTGTGTAACCTGAACTTCTGACCCACTACTTAAGAAAAAAGAGCACTGGAAATGGGTTTCAACAGGAAGACTCACTGGTACGTGACTGAGAAAGAGAGAACACTAAGTATCAAAGTCTCCTCCGGCACGTGAGCCTGTAGGAGAAGGAAGCACCTCTTCAGGGATTTTATTTTCTCGGTTGCACATGCAAAGTCCTAAATCAGAAGGACCTGGGCTCATTCGGCTGAGCTGTGGTGTCTGTAACCAATGGTGCAGCACCTGCTCCTCGGCCCACGTGATGGTGGGGGCCTCCCAGGAAGGAGGGGGCAGTGCTCTGCATACTTTCGTAATCTTGTGGCTCTTTCTTCTCTTTACAAAGCACCAGACATTTCGAGTTTAGCAAGTCCACCTCTGCTGTCCTTTGGACTTGGTGTAGTGGAGCCACAAACCTGGCTGAGAGTTGCTGCTTGGGCTCTGTGGGAAGGCTCTCTCGCTTTGAGCAGGAGCAACCTGTGTTTCCACAGGACAACAGAGCGTGTGAGGTGAGCACAGCATGGGCGATGGGCACAGCCACACATTGGCCGCATCCTGAGCACGAACATACCCGCTCGGGGCCGAGAGCCTAGCACAGTTAGCCCTTGTCTGGCGCCATCTTCGTTGGCCATGTTCTAGCACGTACTACACAGCTTATGTTCCCAGGCCACATGGCTGCCTCTCTGCTGCGGGATGTCTGCCTCACAGGTTGGACCTGGAGCAAGCCCTGCAGCACTGCTTGCCGTAGAACCTGTGGCTGCACCTCCCGTGCTGTGGCACCAGGCTGCACCAGTGGAAGGCGTCCCTGCAGAAGGTGCCTGGAAACAAGCACACTCCACGTTAGCCAAGTGCTCCACCTGGTGGATGCCGCTCATTAGCATCTCTGTGTGGCAAATAACAGCAAACTCGCCATTGCTCCAGCGCTGTGGAAGGAGGGTAGCTCTTTGGGCATGCAGAACTTCCTCATTTCCCATGGCTTTCTGGCTATGTCACTGGAAAATTGAAGGGGGCAAAGGGAGCAAGAGGTATGGCAGACACAGGTCCCAACTCTTGGGCTCCCCAGCCAGCATGTACCCTATTCCTCTAGACTTCTCAGGAATTCTCCAAAGCTTCCACACCCCCAACCAAAGGTCCAGGTCCAGCCGAGGGGCCCCTCACTCACCTTTCTTCTCTTCAATGGGACAGAAGTGGGTGTTGCAGGCCAGGGAGGCTTCGGGCTTCTGGTGCAAAGGGCAGTCAGAGGCTGGCTGGGTCCCTGCTAGGCACTGCACAGTCCTCATCTGCACACCACCACCGCAGCTGGCCGTGCACTGCAGGAGGAGAGCACAGCAGTCACTGGGCTGCCTGGCTCCCTGCCTTGGCCAGCCCACCATCGGAGGGGGCAGCACTTCAAGCTGCAGCAGCTTGTAGGGGATGGAGGTACCAAAGGCAGCACTGCTCAGCCAGCACAAAGATGGAGCAGGCCCTGCTCACCTGCCAGCAGTGTGCGCTGTGCTGGGCACCAGACTGGGCCCTTGCTGGGCATCCTGACCCAGCCTGCATCGTGGCTGCTGTTGTGCTTTGGAGCTCAGATGGGAGCCAGGCTGTTGGGCCTCGCTCAGGCACGTGTGTGAGCAGCTGTGGCTAATGCTGAGGATGCCCCAACAGTATCTGAGCTCAGGGGCTCTGGGGCAGAGTGAGGACGGGTGCTAGAAAGTGAGTGCACTGAATAAAAAGTGGGTATTTAAGGAGTGCTGCATTATCTCCTCAGAAAATAGGTAGTACAGAAAAGGACAGGTTCTGTGAGCAATAAAGTTACCTATAAGTCATTCTTCTGGATATAAAAGCAGGAAAAGCCTCCTATTCGGTTTCTGTTTGAAATCTTCCTGAGTAGAAGGCTGCTGATGCTGTATCCAGAACTGGGGCAAAGCTGCTTTCTATCCTGTGCTGTGTTCTCCTCTGTCTACGGCCTGGGCCAGCCTTGGCCTCTGCCGGCTGCAGTGTCAATGAAGGGGAGCGTTTCCCTGCCTGGAAGTCGAGGTGTTCTTGGGAAATCTGCTTGGCACAGGAGCAGGTGTATGTCAGGGGATGCCAGGGTGACACTCGGGAACAGCGCCTTCGGGCAGCGTCCCTGTGCCTGGCACTGCGAGGTGGAACTAAACGATCAATGTTTTCTTTTAGACACCAGTGGCTTCCCCACTTCTCCTGAGGTCTCTCCGCAGTGTAGAGGAATGGACCGGACCACAGACTTTGGCGTCAGAGAAGGTCAAGTCCCGCTTCTGTCCCCTGGGCAAGGGAGACAGAGGTTCCGTCCAGGAAGGGCAGGGAACAGCCCGAGTGCACCTGCTGTCTCCAGGTGTGCCTCCCCGCTGCACCTTGCTGGACGGCACCCCAATGTCCTGTCTGCACACAGTGAGGAGGAGACTGCCCCATCTCCTCAGAGCCAGTTCTGAGTGCACGCTCTTTCCTTTTCACCCAAACAAATGGCTTCCTTTGATTTGGTCGGCAGTGAGCCCACAAACCTCAGCATAGGAACTAGGGTGGCTGCTTGTGGGGACAGGGAAGCCCCTGTGGGGTGACTGGGTGGCCGGATGTCCCATGCACTGATGAACTTGGGGCTTCACTGTGAGTTGATGCAAATGGTACTGATGAGACTGCGAGACCCAGCCCAGGGCAAGGTGCCTGTGTGAGGTGGAACCAAAGCTGGGAAAGTGCCCGGCAGCCAGGGTCACCTTGGCTCTCCTGGGGCCAGTGCAGGCATCTGCGGGCCTTCTCATAGCACATGTGATGTGCGCGCACCCACTTCTGCCCCTCACTGGAGGGTGGAAGGGCTCTGTGCCTCGGTTTCCTCCTCTGGGCAGGGGTCCTGATGAGGTTTCCTCACTCCCAGGGCTGCTGGGGCCAGAACGTAGCTGGAAGCAGCCCTGTGAGTGGGAGCTGCCGTGGTCTCTGGTGGCCCAGCCTTTCCTGTGCCCACCGCGGGCACCCTGGGCCCCTCTGGGGAGAGGTACTCAGGCCCCTCCAGAGGGGCGTGCAGAGGCAGGTCCAGGCCCCACCATCCCCTCCCTCTGTCTTCCTTCTCTCCAGGAAAGGACAGAGTCAGCGCCAGGCAGTGGGCAGGGAGGAGTGTTCCGGACAGGCCAGTTCCCCGCCACACACGGGAGCTGCAGGAGGGCAGTGGTGGCCATGCATGCATCTCAGCCCTCCAGGCCTGATTGCCCCATGGCAGCAGGCGGGGAGACATGGGTGGAGTGGGGCCAGGAGGGATCCAGAGACTTCCAGCTGCAGGGCTGAGGCCGGGAACCCAGGAGGAAACAGCAAGAGGCTGGGGAGCTAGGGGTGCTCAAGCAGACTTCCTCCCAGGAGCCAAGGACGCCTAGAAGGAGGGGATGGTGGGGATGGGAAGGGCCAGGAGGGATCCTGAGGACACCACGCTCCGACCAGCCTGAGCCATGGCCCAGGCCGAACCCAGCAGTTGTGGGGTGACAACACCCAGTGGCTTTCGCAGCCTGGCAGCTGACCCTACATACCGATGCTCCCAGTGAGTCCGGGGCTCTTTCTGGATTGCACAGAATGCCTCTGAGGCGTGGCATCCATTCTGAGAGAGCCTCTTACCTGAGACCAGGGAGAGGCAAACCAGCTCCTCCTCAGGGGGCCCATGGCGGTGTGCCAGGGGTGCGGGGGGCACGGAAATGGGGTACAGGTGCGTTCCAGCTCCAGGTCAGGCTGTGGCAGATGCAAGCACTTCTTGAGGGCCAGCTCATGGTACTTCCCAGAGACGTACTTTTCTGCACATCTCAGGAGCCTTTTCTGGATTCCCCTCCCACAGGAGACAGAGCACTGCAAGGAAGAGGAGGAAGGTCTGTGCTGCACAGCGGGTGCTGCCTGTGTCCTGGTGACAGCAGTGTGGCCCTCTGTGTAAAGGCAGAGCCCGGTGATGCAGATGGGCCTCTCTGTTTAGAAGGCAGCACAGCATCCTCGTCAAGGGAGGGGGCTCAGCAGGTCAGAGCCACACAGAAAGGGTTGGAAGTGGGACAGGGCAGGCAGAAGCCGTGAGGGGAGCATTACAACCCGCCAGACCATGCAGCTGGGCTCTCTGATGTCTCACACAAGAGGGTGTGGGGACATTGCCAAGTGGATTCTCCACACAGCTGCAGGCATGCTGTGGCCCGGAGCAGAGGTGCCCAGAGCAGCCGGGCTCACAGACCTTCCCCAGAAGTTAGGGCTGCCTGGAAGAGGGGAGCATACACAGCTGTGCCTCCCAGATAAGCAGGGAGGCCCTGTGCAAACCCAGGCTGCAGCTGCCGGTCCAGCAAGGGTGACCCACGAGAGCTATGCTCCACTGCAGGAGGGCCGGGCTCGGGGTCTAGGGATGGCGCCGGTCCTCATGCAGGGGACAGAGACAGGTGCTCAGCCACCCAAGACCCCAGCTGACGGCCCGCACAGCAGCACAGCTCTGACCTCACCGTCCTGTCCCCGGGTGCTGCCTGTGCCTGGTGTCAGGACAGAGACCTATGGAGCACATGAGGTGGCTCACCAGGCCACACCTGAGGGAAGCCCTGGTGTGCACGCATGTGTTGTGTGCTTGTGCATGAGTGTGAAATTGAGGGCAGAGGCTTTCTCCTCGACACAGCGCGCTTGCTTTTTATATGCCTGTCTGCAGGGCTCTGCATGGCAGATAGTTCCTCTCTAGCAACAGTGCTCCGTGGTCGGGAGACGCCATTCCCATGCCCAGGTGACAGGGCTGCAGCACGTCCTCGGCAAGGGCAGCGACTTCAGCCGGCGACAGTGCTTCATTTCTCAGTGGCAAACTCTGAGTCAAGAGGATGAAATGCCCTGCTTGGCAAACGGCATGCCGCACATGGCCTTGCGTGGGGTGCTTCTTTGGGCTGTGAGGTTTCTGGGGTCCTTTGGGTCTTGGCCAGGCCACACCTAGTCAGGGAACCTTCATCTGCCCAAACCCAAGATCCCGCTGCAGGCCCCGTATGGGGCTGGGCAGCCCTGTGCAGTGCCCATGCAGCCCGAGGCACAGATGCCCAGGCTGCTCTCGCCCAGTAACCCAGCTTCTTCCTGCGCTGGGCTGGACGCCCGCTGTCCTGGAGCGGGGGTACCAGGAATGTGGGTGTTGCCGGAGACGGGGATAGAGGTGCGGGGAGGCAGGACCGCAGCCTCACACACCTGGGACCAGGCGGACACCAGCCACTGCCGCTTCTTGTGCTGGTGGCAGCGTGGCAGCAGGCAGGCCTCGTGCGTCCTGGGCTTGGGCTCGGCCACGCACATGGCATTGGGCAGCAGCTGCACGCGCGCGGAGGGGTCGGTGTTCTTGCAGGCCACAGCCCTCTTCCTCCAGCCCTTGCCACAGGTCCGGGAGCACTGCACACAGAGGAGGCGGCTCAAGCCAGGGGCGGTGCTCAGGCCCCTCGTCCCAGTGGATGGGCCCAGCCCTCTGCCCAGCTGAGCCCCACACCTACCTCTGTCCAGGGCCCCGTGCTCCACGCGGGC